GTCCAACTGTGCTCAGCTTCCGGAAACCCTCCCACCTGTCCTCTCCCTGATGCTCACCCAACCTTGGAGCCCAGGGCTGTTCTACTAGAAGGAAGCCTCCATGTGACCCTTCACTCTTTGCTCACGTGGCTTGGGGTCCAGCAGGCAGAGCCTTCTGTACCCCTCCTCACCATCACCTAGCCAACTCCCTTTGATACCTTGTTTGGATAAGAGCGCCAACCAGTTGGATGGGTCCCCACCCTCTGGGAGGATCTGAAACAGGAGAACAATTGCTTGAATTTAGAACTCCAAAGCAGCCTGGACTGCATAGCAAGATCTTATTTAAAACAAACAAACAAACAAACAAACAAAAAACAAAACAAAAATAGATTTCAGAAACATACAATCTCCTATGAACAAATTTCAGAGAAACATGAAAAAGACAATAGTTTTGTAAGGATGGAAGAATGTGGAAGATCGACCCCTGCTTGCTTTGAGAGGTCACCTCGCCTGCTCCAAGGCTAGCCTCCTTGTGTCACCATACAGAGGCCTCTGTCTCAGCTGCCTCCTTTCATGGGTGGGCCCTGCCTTCCTTTCCACTATCAAAGGGCTGGTGATGGTGTTTGTGGGACAGAAACCCACTGATACATCAGGCCCATGAAAGAGTGCCAGAGCCCGTAAGATATTTACGTGAGGGGGCTAGGGATGAGGCTCAGTTGGTAGAGTGCTTGCCTAGCACACACAGAGTCCAGGGTTCGATCCCCAGCACTGCCCATACAGGGTTTGGTGGTACACTAATCTCAACACTCTAAAGCCAAGCCTTGGCTATATGACAGTCATGTCTCAAAACAAGAAAAGAAACTACTTGGGGCTAGGGAGGTTTCTCAGTGGATAGGAACACTTATACAAGCATAGAACCTGAATTTGAATCCCCAGAACCCACATCAGAATAGCACAATGCCTGCCTGTGACCCCAATACTCTGGGGGATGAAGATGGAAGGGGTTATTGAGGCTTGTTGTTTCCGGCCTCCCAGAGTGATTGAGCAGGACACCTGACATTCTCTTCTGCATTCTGGTGTGCATGCTTGGAATGTGCACCTGTACATACATGTACATAACACACACACACACACACACACACACACACACGCGCGCGCATGCGTGCGCACACGTGCACACAAAAGAAAAGAAAAGTACTTTAAAGTGGGATAAAATGGTTTCTTTATATATTTGTCTTCATATCAATAGTTGTACAATGTAATTGCTTTTAGACTTCTTTAAATTATGCCTATAGGGGGGTATGTGCATGTGAGTACAGCTCCCCACAGAGGTTGAAGTTACAGGAAGTTGTGAGCTGCCTAATGTGGGTCCTGGGAATCAAATGTAGAGCCTCTGTAAGAGCCAAGCTGTCTCTCCAACCCCTCCTTTTTTTTTTTTAAAAATAGAGGAAGAAACCCCATGAAAGCCAAGCATCACGGTGAATACATTGCAAGTGCAGGGTTGGCCTTGCATGTTTGGGGTTTGGCTTTTTGTTGTTGTTTGTTCTATTTCTTCAAGGCTTCAAAGACTTCCAGGACCTGTTTCTTAGGTTAAGACTAAGGCCTGGAAGGCCAGCAGCTCTGTAAAACAGATATGCCCTCCAGGTTCACGTGCAGGAAGGCCCAGGTCTGTGTGTTGCATGAAGCATTTTCTAGTCACAGGGCTAACTTCAAGGGCTGGGCTCCTGCCTTTCTCTGATGAATGACTTTCTGACAGCCCTGGCATGCCCATGCTGGACTTGGCTATCTTGAGCAACAGGAGTCACCAAACCTGTTGAAGAAGTTTTCTTTGTGTGGGACAGTTCTTCTTGAGTTCTGTGAAGACTAGAAACCTCAGAAGGGCATGCCACACTGACACACTGGGATTCCCTGGAGTGTTTAGATCTGGATTAGTGCTGTGGTAGAATGCCAAACCTGATGATGCAGAGGAGGAAAAAGACAGAAAAAAGGAAAGTATGTAATTCATTCTGAAAGTTAATACAGTCTGTTTCCCAGACTTGTTGATTTGATCTGTCTGTGATGCTGATGTCTCTGAAGATGTCAAAAGAAAGCCTACAGTCTACTTCAAGTGTGTGTATGTGTCTGTGTCTGTATGTGTCTCTGTGTATCTGTGTGTGTGCATGCATGTGTGTGTATCTGTGTGTGTATGTCTGTGTCTGTGTGTGTGCATACATGTGTGTGGAGGCCAAGGACCTCAGATGTTGTTCTTCAGGCACTGGCCTAAAACTCATCAATTAGACTAAGCTGACTGGCCAGTGAGACCCAGGGATCCTCCCGTCACCACCTTCCCAGTGCTGGGAGGCTGGCTGGGATCTTTGTAACATGGGTTCTAGAAACCACATATATGTCTTCGGACTTGTAAGGGAAGCACTTTAATTACTGAGCTATCTTCCCAAATCTATTTCAAAATATAGCGCTCTCTCTCTCTCTCTCTCTCTGTCTCTCTCTCTCTCTCCCTCTCTCCCTCTCTCCCTCTCTCCCTCTCTCCTTCTCTCCCTCCTTTTCTCTCTCTCTCTCTATTTCTCTCTCTCTCTCTCTCTCTCTCTCTCTCTCTCTCTCTCTCTCTCTCTGTGTGTGTGTGTGAGTGTGTGTGTGTGTGTGTGTGTGTGAAGAGATGGCTTCAAGATCATTTGTTGAGCAATCAAGAAGACTGGGTTTTAGATCCCAGCACCTACATAGCAAACTGGACATTGGCATCCCATTGGCATCCCTATAACCTCAGCTCAAGATGGGAGGGTGAAACAGCATAAGGAAAATTGATGAACCTTGCTGGTTTCGATCTAGCAGAGAAGATGCAAGCCCCAGGTTCAGGGAGAGACACTGCCTCAAAGGAATAACCAGAGAATGATAGAGGACACCCAATACCTTCTTCCAGCTTCTGCATATGCATACAGGTGTGTAGACATCTCCACATAGGTGTGCACACCCCCCCATGTACTTACGGCACACAAATAAAAATATCTATTGTGGAACCTGTTTTTATTTCTTGTGGGTTTGATACTGATCTCCCTTAGGGGTACAACTCTGTGTGTGTGTGTGTGTGTGTGTGTGTGTGTGTGTGTGTGTGTGTGTGTGTGT